TAAAAACTGCCCTCAAACGCAGAATCAGTGACTGTGACTACACATTTCCTCCATATCTTAAGATATAACACTTTTATTCTGCTTGAAAGACTCCACACTTCCACTTCAAATTCCCCACCCAGCTAAGTAAGATTCAAATTCCCACCCCACCCCTTCTGAGCATGAAAGTATGTTGAGGCTTCATAAAGATTGGCGCATAAGTCATGTTTGACACAGAGAAATTAAACGTATGCCACAACTCATCGATTCTAAAGTTGTATAGTCACAAACCTTCTTACAAAAAAAATGCTTAAAAAAGAGAGCCTTCATGATCCCTACTAGACTTCTAAATTTCTCTCCCCAATTTGTTTTTCTAAATCATTCCCTGTAAAACTCTGAATAAAAATTTACAGCTACAAAATTTTCTTTCATTAACAGTACCACAATTATTAGAAAGTGCTATGACATGGTCTCCTCTTTCCAATCGCACACCTTCCAGAGGAGTGGCAAAACCTTTCACCCTTAATCCCATGATCCAAAGATCAATTCTCTCCACTGCTTTCCATGCATTTCCTTTTAAATTAGACAACTAAATTTGGTCCTGTATCAAGAAAATGCCCTCTTGCTGATAAATTTGTCAGTTCTCATAACCTCTCTGCATGGAGAATCAGCACATTAATCATTTCTGAGATAACCTCTTTCTAAATATCTAAGCAGAATTTGCAACAAAGCAAAAGCTAGTTAGGAGAGTTATGCGTTACATGTAGCTTGTGCATACAAGTCTTCATCCTTCCTTGTTGCCCTTAAGTAAACTTTGCAAACCAAGTATTGCTGCCGTATTATGGGAAGTATAAGTACTTCATAGTACAAACATTTTGTCTGAACTGGGAAAAAAGTCTGCAGTTTCATTCCACCTTCAGTCCATATCAATACACTAAGTCTTTTAACATGTTTTGTATCTTGCCACTCAAATTGGTTTGTACAGCAAGGTTGAAACATATTTCTCCCTAAAGCGATGCGTTCCACTTAACGTCATGACTCCATCCTAGAAAAGAAAATTAGAGTTGATTCCTTATAATTAAAACTGTATAAGCAAACATAGAGAAATAAGATTAAAGTAGGTTACAATTATTTATCATGGTGCAGACACTTATGATGAAGTGTTATACAAAGAAATATAATGAAGACCGTGAGGAGAATTGCTCTTGAAATATAAAGAGAAAGGGTTTGCATTGCCCCTGGAAATTTCAAGCAGAAAGTTTTCCACAAAAACAACTGAAAATAACAAGACAACTAAATAATGTACCTTTCACACAGAATTAAGATTACACTTAAATTGAGCTGCAACATGCCACACATACACATGTATGTACTAGGGGGAAAGTTTCTGAAGAAACTGTTGAGCTGCGTCAGTGGGAAGAGTTTAGCAGGGTCATTTGGTATTATCATCTGAGTTGATAACATGAATTGACCACTGTAAAAAGTTTGAAAGCTGATGTTTCAAGCATTAGCCCTTTGTCATAGCAAATAGCTAACTCTTTATGGTGGCCAATTTACATTATCAACTCAGTTGATAATACTAAATTACATGTATATAGGACCAAAGCCCAGTTGTGCAATAACCCAGGGTTAAATTGTAATAAATTTTTCTTCATTTTTCTGTTCAAAAGCCTTTTTGGGATGATTTTGCCTATTCTTTTAAGAACATCCATTCATCAAATTGTAGACAAAAAGAATGAAAACTGAATATTCTTCCAAAGCTTTAAGATCTGAAATGAACTTTTACAGTAACCCTGGATTATCTTAACCCAGCTTTGAACAACCAACCTCTGCAGAAATATTCACATACCTTTATAGAGAGAGCATATAAGTGATTTAGAGACACATGGTTTGGTTCTGGTAAAAGGGAAGGGTCATTGTGATCCACCACATCTTTGTTTAGTATTACATGGAGCAAATGTGGAGGAAGAACTGGAGGTACGCTAGAATGCATCCCATCTTGTACTATAACAGGGTTGTGATGTGATGGAATAAGTTGGCCATAAGAGCCAGGTGGAGATCCTGATACTGATTCTAAAAGAAAAAATATTCAATTTCAATAACAAAATTTCTTTCTTAACAAAAAACATAAAAATAAATTCAGTCACCATTTTTTTTAAATTCAAACTTGCAATGACAAGTCACCCTTTAACTCACTTTAACTTTAAGTGACTGGGACAGAATTTCTCCTTACAATACCAATACAATATCAAACAGACAAGTGATGAGAATAAAGAAAAATATTAAATAAGGGGATTATTAGTTGATCAAAGACCAAATTCTCCAAACTAACATCACAAGAACTATGTGGCAAATAGTAAGGGGAATTACTAATGAGATCTTGGGAGTAAAGGATTAAGCACTGGATACATGTAACAGGCTAGATAACACATGACTATACCACAGTTTTCTACAAACCACAAAGCATGTTACTGAGTCTAATTATACAAGGCTTGATATAATTTTCTTGCTAGCACTGCTCAAGTTGTCCAGTCAAAGACAGAACCCACTTTGACCAAACAAATACATGTAATATCCATTATACCATATTTCAATAAATATCCTCCTTCCTTAAAATACAGGTGTATTTACCGATGCTTTTAATGTGCTTGAAGCCTCAAACCCAATGCATGAAAAATAATTTACACCATATTTAAAACCTGAACTTGGCTTGGAATAAAATTCTTCTTTAACCCTTTAACTCCCATGAGTGACCAAGAGAGAATTTCTCCTTACAATATCAATACAATATCAACCAGGTTAGTGTTAAGAATGAAGAAAAATATCAATTTGGACATAATTAGTTGATCAAATACCAAATTCTTTTAACTACCATTATTAGGGTTGTATAGTTGATAGTAATGAGAATTCAAATTTGATCTAGGACATAAAGGGTTCAATGCCTAATCTGCCAGACAAAATGTTTGGCCATCAAGGAGCTGACCAGACATGATATTTTAAGAGGTTGTTATGTTACACCCTGATTACAGGTACAATATAGCACAAATTACAATGATATTTCGGTTACAAATACTCAGTTTCAATTTAAAATAAAAATCAAAACATAAGCACTCACTGATTGATCCAGCAGAACCAATACTTGCACTAGCATCAGACTCCAGAGCTTGAAACACTTCAAAGTCAGACTTCTTTACATTGATCACATTGTTTCTACCTCCAAAATTGTCATTTGTAGTTGGCTATTAAGATGAAAAAATAGAATGAGGAGATCACAGCTTTAAATCCTTGCAGTTTCTGGATTGTCGTCAATAATGATTATTTATTATAACACGTATTGATCCAGTGTTCTCCTTTTCAGGTGGTAGGCTGTAAACTTGACAGCCTATAGTACATCCAATTACCAACTCAAAATGCTTAGAATTCTTGAAAATTCAACTGGAAAACCAATTGCTCATCTGGTTAGAAAATTTATTTTCCCAGTTGTGCTTAGGATAAGGGGAAACACTGGTGATCAAGAGTGAACAGATATGTTTTGTTATCAGCACTAGCCTAATTTGAGCACCTGTTGAACAATGTGAATTACCTAATGAGTGTGTCTTCCTTGTCACCAAAACCAAATTATTCCTTGAAGGTCACCAAAATTTTAGGACCCTTAAAAGTGCTTGCAACCCCAATTTGGCTAAACATTTTGGTTTCATGACCACAAATTAATAATCCTAGTACTGTTACCAATCTTTATAGTATTGTCTCATTAAATACACTTACAGCATTTGGGTCATGGATCCAGCGGCCATCCACACAAAACTTATACTCATGCTCCCCTTCTGGAAGTTCAAGTATTGCTGAGAATTCTCCTTGGCTACAAACAGGGAAATAAGGCATATCCTCAACACCAGTAACTTACTTATTGAACATGTACATAACAGGGGCTGGTCACTAGTAAAAACAACATCAAATGTTGTAGGAAATCAACAAAAGTGAATCAACCAAAGTGAATGACTGAGAAACAAAGGGTTGTTACAATGACAGTCATACAGTACAATACTGTGGGTCCTTGGTAAAAAAAAAAAAAGGTTGGAATCTACTGATGGCATACTAAACAGTTATTACTCAGACTTCATAATAACTGACCTAAGATTCATTGGAATTCTTGTTTTCCAGTCATTGAAACTCCCCGAGAGTAAAACTTCCCGGCCACCATGTTCCCAACCAAATACTGTTGGTACAGTCCTCTTCAGTGGAGGCTCTGGTTCCATGAGGTCATCATCAAAATCATAGTCACTTTCATCAAATTCGCGCTCTTTTGCTAACATCAAATATGATTATATAAGATAAATTGAACTTTTCAGTAATGATAAAAAAGAGGCTACCATCCATCCCAAAGATGATTTTTGGGAAGAGGTTTGACAGTACAACTATTTCATCCAATTACTGGTCTCCTCAAATTAATTATCCCTTGGTACAAATACTTTGGATTTCAACAAAAAATTCACTAATACAAGTTCATGACAATAACAATACTTGTTACTGAGAATTACAGCAGAATGTCCACTGCAAAATCCCACAGGAAAGCATCATTAGCATGTAAACTGTAAACAAGCAGTAAGCAGTAATGTATCTTGCAGACAGTTGACTCTCCTTCCTGATTTAGTTTAAGAGGAACCTGCAGCTTGCAAGGTTATCAAAGTTATCTGATAAAGAGAGTTTCTTGTTGTACAGGGTTTAACCTTTTAACTCCCATGAGTGACCAAGACAGAAATTCCCCCCATTATATTGATACAATATCAAGCATATAAGTGATGAGAATTGAGAAAAAAGATCACTGAGGGGATTATTAGTTGATTCTATACCGCATTCTCCCAACTAAAACAAAAAGAATTATATGGTAAACAGTATGGAGAATTGCTAATGAAATCTTGGAATGAAAGGGTCAACTCCCAACATGTAGACACACACCTGATGAAACCATTTTGGCTTCCTGTCCACTTGGGAACATCTTCTTGCCAGTTTCAAATTCTAATGTAGAATCTGAGCTGTGCACATCCTTATGTTTTCCTAGTCCAGTGTTGCCCATTCTCTGTTTTTACTTTGTTTACCCCTCTTAAGATATTGAACATCTATGAGCTAAGAGAAAAATGATAACACATTACTTTTTTAACTACTTTTGAGCTGTTTCTGCTTCCAAGATCATAAACTTTAATCTTATTTTAAAAGACATCCAATATGTGATTTTGAATGCTGTGATAAACTTACGAGTGAACGAGTTAGCTGAAAGACTCGGTGCTCGAGTCCCTTAATTAGCTAGTGCTGAACATAAGATTAGATAAATTTTATGTGAGGCGGGCAAAATATGAAATAAAAATCCGTGTTGCGCTGTAGAATCAAACCAAAACGTATAATCCCTCTCGATTTATGGGTTAACCAGTTTTTTCTTAACAGAAGTAGCAAGTTCTGTTCCACACGTGTACCAACTTCTGCTCCTGATAAATGTTAACTTGCACTCCGCAGGCATACCGTACGCGATATACGAACGAATGTTGGCTTAAATGCATCTGTAAGCGTATCCAACTCAGACTTGCGAGACAAATGATATCAGTTAGCCGATCAAACGCGTCTCGTAGTAAAAATGAAAACTATTTACAGCCTCAAATTACCTGAAACGTTACAAAGAAACCCTTCGATCACTACGCCATTGAAGCTATATTTTTAAAATGAACCCTATAGGCATGGTGGGATAGATGAGTGTCCAGTCTCCTCGTCCGTGATTGACTTTGACAGTTCAAAATAGGATGTTACTTCTGTTACTCTGTTATTGTTTAGACGCTTTTCGCGCTATTGCGTTGCATTACTGTCGTAACAGAAGGGAATATTTTTGAAGGCAGCGAGAATAGCGTACGTGGAATGCAATGGGGATTCACTGTTTGATGCCGTTCCTTCGAAAGTTAAAAAGTGTTTACGGGCCTGCGCGACTCCTATCATTCCACCACGACCACTTCGTTTTCAGAGGGCAACTGACAAGATTAAAAAAGATTCGAAATACGCTTAAAGACTAGAGGATACCTAGATGAAGGTTTTGAGAAGCGTATCTCTGGAGTTATTTTCTGCGAGAGAGATAGAATACTTAATAACAAAAATAAATTACGCAGAAGAAAATATTGCCTTTTGTAACACAATCTCATCCTGTTTTGCCAAACTCTGAGAACTTACAGATGGGGAAATGACACCTTAAAACTAACCCTGATATGACATCGCAAAGGAAATGTCATAATAAGAGCTAAAATTTAAAGGCAGCCGCCAGTGAATGAGAGGATTCACTTAGGCCCGTTAACACCTTGTTTTAAATGATCGACTGTCTTTTGCTTTCCGGCTTACCTAGCGTGTCGCCTTGCGCAATGTAGAGTTACTGATTTGTCAAATGGCTCCTTTCATTGCCAATTCAATTGTCCTTCATTCAGTGATCAAGATAGTAGATTTCGCATACAGTACGACGATCATTTAATTTGATTTTACTGAAGAAAATAGATTTACAACACGATTGAGTATACATGGGAAATGTCCTTGCAATAGTAACGCCATGTAACGCAGTACACTACACACAACAATAGGCCTTTTCGCGCAAACACTAGCAGTTAAAATCCATAAAACACGAGTACCGTTGGAGAACGTTTAAGAGCTTTTGGTCAGAGCTGTAAGAGAAAGATCAAAGCAGCCATCCGAATCTTTGAAAAGCTTCAAACTACGACGCACATCAAATTTGACACTTTCGAAAACCAGTCTCAACTTACATACTAAAAAACAGTGATTGTGTTTGTCCCGGAGAACTGTTGAATACGCGACAAATGCGTACAAAAAATAATTCTACACATTCAGAATAAATCAAATTTTATTGTCCATGGTGAAAGGAAAAAGGAACAACCCAACTTTTTTACGGAATGTTCAGTCAAAATCAGCCGGTTTCTGCCACTTTCACCGCCGTATTGAAAATAACGCTACCATAATGCAACGCAATCGTAGTGCGCATACCGCCTGGTTGTTGTTTAAGGTGTGATGTCCGCATGATGTTTTCACGCCACAGCGTGATCAACATTTCAGTCTTATATCATGAGATAATGACGCGATTCTACTGCTTACAAATTTCCGACCAAGAAAATGTCTCTTAATCATCTAAACGATTCTAAATTTTGGGGAGTGAAAATTCAGAAAGTTTCGTTGATAGCAATCCAACAATATTTATAAAAAATTGGTTTACCACAAAATCACTACAGGGGTGATAATTTTTTAACGAAGTACTTACTTCCATGACATTCCCCACGTAACTCAGACCTTGTTCCACCAATTCCGTCGGATTAAAGATGCCTATTTCGCGAAATATTTGTTAAATCACACTTGAGTCCGCACTTGACCCTTTGTCTGACGTCCTCAATCACAGCCCGGTCTTATGATCATCCAGAAGAGTATTGTGATCCTTCAGACACTCGACTAAGCTGCGACTATCCGGTGATCCGATGACGAACTATCCAGTGGTGGTGATTGGTCAGTTTTCATAGAAGCAGTAAATGGTTTCTACACTTTGGACTAGCTTGGCGTTTTTTAAATTTAGATGTTTGAGGAATATTCCCATGAGTCTCGATCCAAGATAACCCCAAATATTCCCGTTATCTCCAGATGACGCGTTCCCTGAAATAGGTTTGTTCTTTCGTCCTGAATATCGAATTATCTCAGGGCCCTCGACCAGACCTAAGATAAAGTTATTATTTGTTTGTTTGTTTATTTATCTACTTATTTGTTTACCAATTTCTTTACCTCGAGGAGCCGTGTTGATCGCACCTCATGTGTCCGTGCGTGCACTGACACGGGAGTGGGAGTGTAATCACATGTAGAACTTTTGTGGAGCGCACATGACCACAGTTAACTAATTACACGAGCTCCAATGAAGAAGTAAACATTGCTGAATTTCGCCATCCATCCATTGTCATCTTAAGAAATATTAACAAAAACGCTGAGGAATCCAATAACCGATTTACAGTTCTCTTCCTGATGTGTTTCATCGTTCAAGGTGAGGTTCTGTAGGGATATCTGTATCTCTTCAGTAGCTCGCGGTATGATATTTGAACCAAAAGTCGTGATCAAAACTATAATGCGTCTATTCACCCGTATTGTAGCATTGAAGATTATTACAGAGTACGTGAATATAAACAACATGTACACTGAGTATATAAAAGAGATATCTCCACACATTTTCCTATTATTGGGTAAGGAAAATTGTATTGTCTGGTCAGTGGCATCCAGGTTCAAGGGAGTTCAGACACCTCCCCCCTCCACCTATCGGACCATCTGTATGGTTTTTTTTAAACGTGTCTGACGCAAAAATTATTGCAACGGTTGCGCGTCACTATTCAATTTCTCAATTTCTTATCTTCCTCAGGCCGAAAAGAACAAAATTCATATGAGTTTTTTTTTTTTAATTTTTTATCTGAAAAGTGATCGAAATTTGCATCCCTCCCAACCTTACATCCGCTGTAGAGTAGTCATTGGTCAAGTGATCTCTCTCATTCCTTTGATTCAACTGTCTTTTGTTCAATAATTAAGAAAATACATTTAGCGTACAATACTCGTAATCAGTTATTTTACTTTCACTTAGGAGAGTAGATTTACGGCACGATTGGAAGTTCCTTACAGTAGTGACGCTATGTGACCTTATGTAACGCAATACACTACATCCGCTCCAATTGTTTTCCCAGCGGCAACCTGTCGCCTGGAACTTCCAGGTTGTATCCATAGGAGATCTCCTCGCATGTGATTGATAAGTTACTTGCCGGCGACACATACACTTAGCGATTTTCACCGATCACGGCGATCGACGAAATAAGCCAAGTGTGCCTGCTGTAGCGATGGCGTTGTTCGCCGATCGCCGTGATCGGCGTTGAAAATCATGCTAGATAACGGCGATTTTCGCCGGCGATCAACTTCGCACCGATTGGCTTATAAAATCGCTAAGTGTGTAACCGACTTTACAATTTGAAATGCCTGTTGGTAATGTAAGAAAGCCCGACCGGCTTAGGACAATAGTCTGGTATACCGGAATAAATTTTTCTTTATGTTTTTTCCTCTGGATATGCTTTTAATTAAAATTACAGTTCACTGAGGATAATTTGGAAAATTGTTCCGCACAAGGACCGACAATGACAAATATTACTATGCAACAATCAATCATCAGCATGATAACCCAGACACCTGAGGCACCCTTAGGTCATACAGACGACCAGCCGAATCTTTCAGAAATATACCCTCAGTGGGCATTCCATCCGTTGGCAGACGTCTATAGACCTTTCAGAAATATTCTCTCAGTAGGCATTACATCCGATGGCATTAATATGTCTTACAAAATAAACACTCGGGCTAAAAATCCCAATTGCACTACATGCTTGCACCAAAGTAATTTTAAAGAACACGTTTTTGCCATCTTTTAAGGAGATTTTCTTTTCAACAAATTAAAGTTTCATAAAAAAAAGTTATAAAAAGCCCTGAAAGTGACACTTACGGAATACAACTTAAAAACCCAAATAATACCGAAGAATTAGTTTGTTTTCAGTCTTTCATCATTGTTAATCCGACGGCAGGCAAAATCACCTTGTTAGCTACTAATTCCTTATCAACTACATTTACCTGGTAGGGAGTCTCGGTCAGCGAAAATCAGCGCAAAAGTAAGTGTGCGTAGTAGTTTCCCTGACAAGAACAACCACTGTTTGTCACTAAACTGTTGTTTCACTCGCCTCCACTAATCGAGATATTTTGGTTTTATCGATTGAGGTGATATGGTTGACACTGTTTACGGTGACAAATTCACATAACAAAACTTAACTGATGAAACACGATTATCCTGTAATGTCCCGAGCGACGCAGCGCCACAGTTTCGTAGGAAATGTTCCCCCCCTTTATCCACTGATCGAGAACTTGGAACAGGATGGAACAGGTTGCATTTGGCTTAAGTGTCCACTTGCGTTTTATAACGATACTAGGCCAAGTTTTTCCAAGGCCGATCAGCGCTAACCTATGGTTAAAGTTTGTTCTGAGTTTCTCTATTCCTTTGTTCAAAAGCCTTCATAGGATAACTTTTTCTATTCCTTTTAGAGCATCCAATTATCAAATTTTAGACAAAAAATTTTACTGATTTTTCTTTTAAAGCTTTCAGGTCTGAAATCAGATTTTACACTAACCCTGGGTTATATTAACCCGACTACGAACAATCCGGCCCTGATCAATAAACACCATCTTATTTCACTCCACTTTTTTTCCCTTTCAATGGCTAGCTGTTCCATGCGCGTGCCGCTCTTTAGCCTCTGTGGAATGTCTTTTAAGGTGTGCACATTTCAATTCTCTGTTCTGTACCTGCAGGGTCTTGCAGTTCTTCTGCTGTTTATAGTGGCATTTTTATTCATATCAACTTTACCGATGGCTATGTACCTCTATCAACGAGACAAAACTACACGCTGAAAATTGTTAAGAATGAACTGGAATTGCATGCACCGCATTATTCTTTACTTCTTGCTAAGTGCCATTGTTCAAGGTATGTTTTCTTATGAAACACAATTATTGTGCTGGAATGACCAGGTCTTGTTTGGTAGAAGTATAGACCCTTGTGTCTCTAGGTAAGAAGATATTTTCTAAGATCTCACAGACACATGCCCAAAAGCTTTTAAAAGCTGATGAAGAAAATCTAGTCATAATTTCCCCCGAAAAATAAAAACGGCCGAAAGCTTAAGTCCACACACTAGCCTGGTGTCAACCTTTGAGACTGACGAAACAAATTCAAAAAAGGGTTTGAGACGAGTAGTATCACTTCGATCTTACCTTTTCAAACATTGGATTTCTGTTTTTTAAACATAGAGATATAAGGCTTTTTAGCATAACACTGCATGTGGAATAAGATGGCATCTTTATTCCCACAGGTCGCGTCTCTAAAGCAACCAACTTTTATACTTCGCGCGCAACAGGGAATGACAGCTGGTCATGTGATCAAACAGAACCATGTAAAACCATTTGGAGGGCAGTGTCTTTGGCTTCAGACGGGGATATAATTTACCTGGATGGTACCAACACTGACCAAGATCCCTACAACTGTCTATCAACACAACATCCGGGGCTTTATATCAATAAAAGCCTTGCCTTGGTAGGAATTGGACCCACGCCTCGGCATATAAGATGCTCTGAGGGGGCAAGTTTGACATTCGACGGCTCCGGAAACGCCACGCAGATAAATGTTACACTATCAGGGCTATTCGTAAATGACAGCTTGGTGTACTTTCAAGACTCTTCCGTTAACATTTATGGCTGCCAATTCGTTGGCAGCAAACATGGCGTGAAGTTTGTGATAAACATAAGAGTGGTGTCTGATATTGTTATTACCGATTCAAAGTTTGTTAAAAACATGGAATGCATCTCAATTTTTGTCACGGATTCAAGGATTGGATCTCCAATTATACAACAAAACTTCATTTTAAAGAATTCTACTATGTCCGAAAACAACATTGCCAAAGGCGGAAATTTCATTTCCTTCACTGAATCTCCAGATAACAAAAAGACTGTAAACTGTTTTATCGTTGTGGAAACTGTAACATTTTCCGGGAACACGTACAACTCAAAAGGCCTCATTTACCTCCGGTTCAAAAATGGTGATCAATACTTTCAATACCATGAGGTGAAATCCATAAACAACCGACCATTACCGATAAAGGAAAAATTGATCGATCATCAGAGGAACAGTGAGTTTACCTTCAATTGCCAAAATGTGAGTATTTCTATCAACTCAAGCAACTTAACAGCTCAAAATGCAAGAACGCTAAATATGTCTGCAACCAACATTTTATTGCAAATCTCTAATTCACGTTTCAACCGTCACCGATCGGCAAGATATGGAGGGGTTGTATCCTTAAAGGGATCTGGTGAATGTGACCTGAAAATATCAAACTCGTCATTTATCAACAATACCGTTAATCAAGATAATGGCGGAGCTATCGAAACTGAATGCGCTAGAGTCAGGTGTACTTTAACAAGCAGTACTTTTACAGGTAACACGGCTGTGAAAGGAAATGGAGGAGCAGTAGATCTCCGAGTCATCCCCTCTATTTCCAATTATTTCAAAAAAGAAAATGAAAAGAAAGACAATGATTTAGAGGTTGTAGTTAGAAATGTAAGATTTAACAATTGCAGCGCGCTTTATGGTGGAGCGCTAAGCATCGTTTATGATGGAGGAAATCTTGGTGTTGTTACTATAAGCAACAGCTTCTTTATATCTAACGAGGCTCCTGTTGGGAAAGGTGGAGCCATCCAAGTCAAGCCAGTTACTGGTGATAAATCTCAACGAATGCACAGCAATATTGGTGTTATAATCCGTGGGTCAATATTTACCAACAACACCGCAGCAATTGCAGGTGGTGCCATTTATGTAAACGTGATCGATCAAAGTAGCGTTATTATAGAGAAAGTAATAATCGAACGGAGTAGGGGTTTGTTAGGCGGATGTACCATTGTTGGATCCAGCTCATCCTTAAAAATACTTAATTGTAGCTTTGCAAATAACTTAGCAAATGCCTTGGCGATATTTCACAATGTGAAAAACGTTGAAATCCTAGATTCGTCATTTGTGGGTAATTTCCCTTTAAGTGGATCATTTGGAGGGGCCCTTGTTATTTCGGATTATATGAAATGCAAACCGGAACAATGGCAACAAGGATCATATACGATCATTCAGAACACAACATTTAAAAGTAATATAGCAGTGAATAGTGGTGGAGCTGTGTACTTAGCTAACTGCAAGACAAAAATTCGGAATTGTCATTTTTTTGACAATTTCGCCCAACGTTACGGTGATCATGTATACGCGCTGAAAACAAACAATTTGACGATACTAGACAGCATTTATAAGCAAACCGGAAACAAGCCTCGATTAATCAACGGAATGTATCACTCTGACCATTCTTCACTTATTGACATAGTTGATATAGAAACTCTGGTTATGTCCAACACAACAGTGGAAAGCAAGGCATACAGTCGTGATAAAGGTTTGATGATGGCGACCAGCATCAGTGGTAAGGTAATGCTTGGAAACGACAGCTTCCCAGTGGAGTTTATTTGTCCTGTTGGAAGTAAAATTAATATTAATTGTATGCCTGGTATCCTGTCCACTCCAGACCGACCTTGCGCGTCTCATCGTCATGGTGGAGTCTCTGGTATTCAATTGAGATGCTCTGTTTGTGAGGGAAATTCCTATAGTCTGCAACGTGGTCGAGCCAGAGGAACCCAGTTTGTTTCACCATTTAAGTGTCATCCTTGCCCATTTGGTGCAAACTGTACTAAACATATAGTCGCCAAACGTGACTTTTGGGGCTTCAAAGAGCAGCGAAACTCTTCGCTGCTAAGGTTCACCATGTGTCCTATGGGGTATTGTAGCCAGCCGACGGAAGAAGACTTTCCTGAATATAACAGTTGTCAAGGAAACCGGTCTGGCCAATTGTGTGGGAAGTGTAAAGACAACTACACAAAGACTCTTTACTCTACAGAATGCATACCATTAGACCCGTGCAATATTTATTGGTACTGGGCCATAGCTTTAGTTTATGTATCACTCTTGGCTTTGTACTTAACGTTTAGGCCTCCGATGGTACCTTGGATTAAGCGTCAGATCTTGTGGTTCAAGCAGAAAGAGCCCGTGGGCCAGAAGGTCATCTTCGAGAAAGGGTATCTGAAGATTCTTTTCTACTTTTATCAAGCAGCAAATCTTGTTCTTATCTCTGGCTCATCCCAGTTGGCTATAAAAGACAAAATCATTGAACCAATAGTTGGTGTGTTCAACTTCAGATCTGGTTCTCTTCAGGGATTCAATTGTCCATTTACTGGTCTCTCGGTGGTAACAGAGCAGCTATTGTTAGAATTTCACGTTGTTTGCACGTTGCTTGTAATATGTGCTTTGTATTGCGTGCTTTGTGGTTTTCAGAAGCTCCGTGGCAAAGGGAATCCATCTCCTGGTCCATATATAGGTGGCATCTTGCAAGCTACTTTGCTAGGGTATACAATCATAGCAACCAAAAGCTTCAGTTTGTTGCGTTGTGTTGATATTGGTGGGGAGAAGCGTTTGTTTTTTGATGGTAGCATTGTTTGTTTTCAATGGTGGCAGCGTCTTTTGACGGGATTTGTTTGTGGTTACGTGGTACCTTTTTTGTTTGTCCTCCTTTGGGGCTCTTGTAAGCTATACGATGACACTATCTCGGTGAAGACTTTCATCGTGGCTTGTTTTTTGCCTCTGCCACTGCTATTCTATTGGTCTTATGGTGTGTTGCGTGCAACGTTGAGAGGCACAGTCCCTGAAATTGCACCTCCGAGGCAAGATTCAAAAAGGTATCTAGAAATAGTTCTCTATGACTCCTTTAAAAGACCTGATGAAGGAAGTAAACTGTGCCTCTGTTGGGAAAGTGTCATGATTGGCCGTCGACTGATTCTTGCTGCGCTGAAGTCATTCGTCAGCGACCCATTGCCTCGAGTCGTTATTATGAATTTGCTAAGTGTTTTGTTTCTTATTCACCACACTTTAACTCTGCCATTTCGTGATGGTATTGCAAACGTAATTGAGACCATTTCACTGGCTTTTATTGTTGTTTTGGGATCTGTGAACGTGTTCTTTGCTTCGTTTGTGTCGTTGGGTGTTTCAATCGACGACAAGGCCTTTCGACACTGGTGGAATGTTTTGCAAGTGGTTGAGCTCGTAATTCTCAGCTTAGTACCCACATGTTTTTTGCTGGTACTGGTCGTGGCTGTTGTCTCTCTATTGTTCCGAATAAACGTTGTGAGTATTCGTGGGATGTACAGAATCTTGAACTCCTTTTGTGCGCGTTCCAAGAACCAGACAGAAGAGAAGAGATCACTAATGGCAGTTCACTTAGATCAAGACAAGGCTACAATTGGTGGTAAAAGATGACCATACTACTGTGCAGCCTATCTGCGAGGAAAAGCACTCATCCGCATCGTTCAAATCAACAGAGAAAGCAGCAAATTAAGAAACAAATGAACCGGCTTAATATCTACCAAGAAAAACTCTGTCTTTGATTCGGAGTCAGTCTTCTTCCTTCCTTTAGAAAATCTTTTCGAAGGTGGCTTCCTAGTTATTCCTAGAAGATGGAAGCAAACTGTCCCTGTGTTGGGAAGGTGTTATGATTGGCCTTCGGCTAATTATTGTTGCACTGAAGTCACTTATCAGAGACATATATTTTATAGATATTGTGTAAACTATACCCTCACAGAGACAGAACGAACATTTTGCATTTTGTAGGGAGCAGAAAGTTATCGGTGCGCTAAGAGCCGTGTGTCGTGACTCGAAATGTTCACATCAATGAAATCTTTTTAGGTCTTTAGTTGGTTTGCGTCAGTTGCGCTTTGAACTTACATTTTCTTTGAGTAAAACACGGTGTCGATTCATCTATGAGACTCGGGCAAGAAATTAAATCCAAAATTGTTTATTTTGGCTACGGTCAACTTTGAAGTCTCGGATTATCATTTTCATGTGACGCCACAGAGTTTGAGGGTTCACCATGTTTATCAGGGATTGACAGCTCAGTTCGAGGTTAACAATAAGATTTTCCGAGTTTCAATTTACGCTTTTCGCTCTACATATGTGAGTGGCCCGGACCGAATAGAAAGTAGCCGCTTTTTTCGTTACTTCTCTTTCTCTCTTCGAGCTCCAAAAAATATTCGCTTTTTAAACACAAATAGTTACTGATGACCAGTTTATCAGTTTTACGTGCGTAAAGATTTGACAATTGGTCAGTGATGAGTCAAAAAACCTTCAGGTATCCCAATACTACATAAATGCAGTTTTTTTTGTCTCGTTAACCATGGATTTTCAGTTTTGTATCGGAGGTTTCCATCGGTCAACGTATTAAATTTTTTGAGAATGCGATCCGATTTGGTTTATTTATGTAATTATCTACCTAAAAATCCCTCGTAGACTTTCGTCACACCTTAGATAACCTTTATTTCACCAGCAGCCATTTTACACTCAATGGAGTAGCGTGTTTATATAACCCTTGTAAATATTGGCCGTTACATGACTATATATTTACCAGTTATTATAACTAAACTGTTATTTCTCATTATTATCCTGTAAAGAATCTCTGTAAGTTACTTTAAACTCTCTCCCCAGACCACTCACTTTAGCGGCTTTAACTTCATTTCACTGAACTTCAGAGAAGTTTCTTTCCTCAGCTTCTTCTTCCGCCAAACGATACCAAAGTGATGGGGGGCTCTATCTTCTCGGTTTATGTACTCCCCATTCAGATTGCAGTGAAGGCAACTTTTGTACCACCATCCTCCCTTAAAGCGCTCGGCACAGTTGCTCTTAGACTTATCATTGTCCTTGTCTTTGGTGGAGAAGTACATGGACCTGTGCAGACGGAGAGCATCACCAGCAGAGCCTTTCCCCTTGCTTAATGTTATTTGGTACAGGGAGGCTTCGTCACTAACATTAAATTTCTGATACGTGGTAGTAAACGTTTTGTGGGGGTGATCCCAGGCCTCCAGCTCCACTCGTAAAGCAACCGTACGATTGACTGTCAATCGATGGAGGTTTTCATTTCCAAGCCAAAAACTTGTCCTCCTTCCCAGCCTACCAAAACCGTTTCTGTACTCGGTCCAATTCCGAGAGAAGTCCTCCTTGTTGTTGATCCTTCTCTGGAAAACTGTCCAACCACCTCCATCTGTTTTCATGTCGCAAAACACCTTGATCGCGCCTTTCCCATCGGGGTCGATGCGGTACAAGCCATTTCGGGATTCGGTAACTTCGGAGCAGTCTGTTGGGATAAGTCAGTGTTTTTCAATAAAGTATTACTTCATTTGTTAAGGTATCAAACGTCCTTGTTTGTCTATGGACAAGAGATTTGACATTGTGGAAGCACAGTGCGACTTTCTTCAAATTTATTGGGATCTTGAGCAGTCAGCAAGGCAACGCCAAGGAAGACGTTGATTAGAAAAAGGAATTTCCTTTTTCAGTTAGAAAGATTCCAAATTAAAATCAAAATAATTTGACGTCGCGCTTTCCGTTCGCAGACGACGCAAATTGTAGTGGTTTCACATTGTTATGTAAGAAATGTACAAAGTTTTAAAACGCACGTACTGAGCTATTGTTCTGCCCATTAGATCTTTTGTTTTGCCACGTTTTCCTTGCCGTCGCCGTCATGGTTTACTGAAGGTCCCTATCGTAATCTACCACATCTAAGAGACTTTTTTTTTTTTAATTAAACAGCTTTAGCAATTTTTACTGATATTGAACTTTGGCTCGCGCGTTTTCACATTTTATAGTTTTAGGTGAATATAAAATTATCGACTGAAAAAATCTAACGAGGCAAAAAACCAAATCGTAGCTTACGTTAGTAGATGCCTCAAAACTGCTCAATACAGCCGTCACACTGAGGATTACTAAGGGCGTTGTTGGGAGGAGGGGGGATATTCATCTGGTAAACTTGTCCCT